ACTTACCCATTTTGGTTTTATTTCCAGATTTTTAATTATAGAATGCAATGATGATGCAGTAAACCATGCATCCTGACGAGCATCAGTGGACCAATGATCTATTGCTTCTACATTGATTTCAGGATCTTCATTGGATTTAGTATATAACAAAGTGGTATGTAATGTCCAGCCTTTTTTTCCAAAAAAATCATTTTTTGTTTCACGTGAGGTTTTGGGTAGTATTTTCATCTTAAAGTCAACGACTAATACTGCTCCATTTTCATCTAGATCTAAAAGAGCAGCATTAAACTGTGCATTTAAATAAACTTTCCTGGTTTGATGTGAAAGATAATAAAGTAATCGATTTTTATATTCTTGGATTACTTCATCATGTGAGGTATTGAGATTATTTTTCAAATCATCAAAAAATTGAAACATTTCTTGACATTTATCACAGGAATGAGTATGTGGAGCATCACATCCACCAAATGCATATAACAAGCAATGATTTATACATGAGTCATGGGAAGTTGTTCCACGATCTGTTACTATTAAATGTTCTTCATATTCTTTCTTTAAATAACGTTGTAAGAATTGACATCGTTGGGAAAAGGTATTCTTTAAATAAGATTATTATTTAATAATAATTATATATGTCAAAACATAATTCTATAATTGTTAACTAAATATACCTGTAATTCCATATTGTTTATTTCCCTTATTAGATTCAAAATATCTTCAAATGTTTCATATCCATATGTGCTACATGTAGAGCATAATCCTCCAAGGTCTTCACGATAAACATATTGATTACCCATTAATTTGGCATAAAAGGTTGTACGTTTAATACCATTTGGAAAAGAATAATTGAATTTTTCCCATAATGCACTTTTTGTATTTTTTAGATAAACCACTGGTTGACCTGTTTTAGTATCAGTTTTATAAGAACTCATTATGACATGGGCTTTGTCTTGAAAAAAGGTATTGAATTGTTCTTCTTGTTCAGAAGTAATTCTTTTGATTTTTCTTACAGGTTTTTCTATTACTTCACAACCAGGGCCATTAATTTGTGCATATTTTTTTGCCTCAAGAATTGTACCTTCTGCTATCTATTTAAACAAAGGTAAATATAGATTAATGGTTGATTTTTATTTTTTATATTTTTGATACTTACCCCTAATTTACCCATCAAAGTTTTATAAGAAAATTTTTCTGCTATTATAGAAAGGATTCTTTTTTTCCCATTATATCCTTTTTTATTGGCTTGTAATGATTGATGAAAACAATCCCAAAAAACTTCTCCATCATTAGCATCCTGTTTAGGTAGTGGATGTGGACTCAAAAATCCTGACTCATATAAAAAATTCAAATTGTTATAATCATTTGTTGAATCACTGGATCGTGTCCAAAATTCATTCTAGACATTATGTAAAATATTAATACAAGTAATAAATCTTTCCCAAATTATTTTCATATAAATTCAATGATAATAAATTTTATGACTTACTGATGATACACTTTTAGAAAAAGGTGTTATATTAGTACATCCAGCATGAGATAACATTGCTCGCCATGCTCGAATTTCCCTATCACCAAACACATGATTTTCTGGATATAGGTTTTTTAAAGCATCTGTAATTTCAATTACAGAATTTTTTTCACTTTGCCATTTAATGAAAAATTCACTCCATTGCACTGAAGCCAATGTACATTTTCGTAGATGATAATTCCACAAAGTTTCCATTTTATTAACATTATTCCATTCTTCAGGTAAGCATTTAGGTATATGCATTGTTTGAATAAAGGATTGAACTTGGGGTTGATTGATGCCAAACAAGTCAATGCCTTTATAATTTTTTAAATATCCAATCTTTTCCCATACATCATTTGGATCACTACCAACATGTGTAGACATCAAATTATTATCTTGATAAATTTTTACTGTGGAATTATTATTTTTTATATCTTGTACAAATAAAGTACTTTTTTTCTTAGACCCTATTTTGCAAATAAAAGATGATTTAAACCCTGGGCCTGCATAATATAATTCATCATCTGAAGATGCACCAATTCCATAAATAAATATTGTAAATTTATCATAGATACAATTGAATGGATGAAATGTTATATCTTCTGTTAACAATTGTTTATTAATTTCTGGCTTATTGTGCCCAGTAATAAGAGGACCAGAATATTTTGCTTGAGAAGTAAACAACTGTTTATATAATGAATTTATAGCTGCTGAAGAATTATCAAAAACATCACTTGCTAAACCATTTGCTTCACACATATAACCTGGCTTATTTAAACAGTCTTTATTACCTTCAATGACAGTAACAAAAAATTGTGTTTTATTAAGAATAACTAAAGTTTTCATGTTTATTCTAATAGGATATAAAGCAAAATTATTATCAGTTTGTCTGGTTTCCCACCAATATTGAGAAAAATCACCAAAATGCAAGTATTCTTTTAAAGAACCAAGAGAAACTAAAGAAACTGGATAATCTTTCTTTGTATCCATTATGTTGTTTTTATTTAAAAAAATAGAAAAATTTTTTAATATATATTCAATTTAAAATTTTTAAAAAATAGAAGGGTTACTTTGAAAAGTTAAGTTTTAAATTTTTATGTCACATAATTATGCTTAATCACATGAGAGAGACAGTCATATTCCAAAAATTCTAAAAATTATATTGTTTATTATCACCACAAAATTATAATAATGATCGGCAAAATTTTGCAGTTGTCTCACGGAGCACGAATTAATACACATGATTTTTAAATAAGAATCTAAATCATGTGTAGTTATCCAATTTTGAAATCCCTGCATATAATTGCACAAATATATCAACTGACCTCCCAATAAATCAATTTCCCATCTTTTACATTTATTGTATTATTTCATTAGCATAGAAATATTTTTGTTTATCAATTGTGGTACAAAATAATGACAAGCTATGTTTGAAAAAAATTGTTTCTACAATAAAATGAGTAAGCCTAATTAATTAAGCTTTAGTTTTTGGGGAGAATGGTTTATATTCGACTCTGCTTCAGTTTCAGATGTAATCTGATGTCATTTCCCTTTGGTGTTTTCTAAAAACAAACTTTTAACTAATTTTTCAGTCTCAAGTGATTTACTCTACATTTATTTGATCAACAACTTAGATAAATATTTGTGGTAATACATACATTAACAAAGAACAATACTTACTTACTTCAAGTAATTTGAGAATGCAGTACACATCCTCAAGCATCCCACATTCATCCTTGTCTGATGGCAATCTGCATTGATCAACTAAACCAAATCTATATATGCCATTTCCTGACCAATCCATGGAATAGAAGTTAAGTTCTAGACCTATTCATAAAACGAAATTCATTAACAAGTTAAACCTGCATAAGTATAATGGTGCAGGCGAGACTTACCAATTTGGAGCCAGCCATATATTGTTAAACTCTTACATTTCTCATCTGATACATATTTACACTCTTTTAGCAAATGGTTGATGCTATCATGCATATACATGAAGTCAAAATTAAAACCCCAAAGTCAAAATGTTTTGACTTGAGGCAACTACATAGTAAAAATCAGTTTCAACCTTATTTCAACCCTATTTTGACCAAATCTGCAAATGATCAAAATAGTTTCGACTTCATGTATAATCATGCATAATTATCATCAGCTTTAACTTATCAAGATAGCACTTCTTACAACAAGCGGTGGGAATTCTGAATGGTCCCAACCCCCCTGCCACCTCTCTGTAAATAACCTCAAATTTATTAGACATTTTAACCAAAGTACTTTTCATATTGTAACAATTTAATGTGATATAATTACTTTATAGAATAACATCTAATTAAATAGTATAACACATGATTAATTCTATTTGTAACATTCATATTTCACGTAGTATTATTTATATTTTATTTATATTATTATTATCATATCTATGTCCTATAATCTTCTGGATAGATTGATAAGTTTTATTAAGTTATATTATTATTTATATTTTATTTATATTATATTTATATTTTATTTATATTAGTTTATACTTTATTTATATTATTGTTTATATTATCAATCTGATGTATTCTTATAAAAGGACATCAAATTTAAGTCAATAAAGATTAACTTGTATTTTTACAATCATTAAAATACCGTTCGAGAAACTATTATCATTAAGAAAGTAAACATTACACATATCTACTCATCTGCCTATTTGTGCCCTTTTAAACAAATTTCCTGTTTTGTTACATGCATAGTTGGTAGACAAAGCTTGAACTTCCCCCTTACATATATACACAGAATAGTTATTATTAATTCTGAATATTTGGAATCAGCCCCCAAAAAATCAATGCAAATAAATGGCTTACCAAGTACTTTTAATTTTATCAGAAGTGAACACCTACAAAATAGTGGAAATATCAAGCTCATTTTTAGCTCTTCTTCTGTCATCATTCCCTGAAAGTTAACCATATCACTTTTCCTGCACAGCAATCCAGAATCAGAACACTATAACCAAATGACAAAATATAATCAAAGAAAACTTATACATACATAAACAGAACATTTATATTTAATTTTCTAATATCATCTGCCTTTTTCTCACAATTACTGTCAAAATATTGTTGTATATTCTTTTCTGGAGGCATTGTTTTCCAAAAAATATTATCAGCAAAGCCTTGTGATTGTTGCATTGTCCTTTTTTGTGAGCTGTTTGCAGTCATATAAACCTTCACTGGTTAAGTCTAGAACTCTCCAGTATGCAGGGCTATTGGATGGAAAGTGTATCAATAATTGGATCATTACCAAAAACAATGATAAAACAATATCAAGCTTACATGAAAACTCTACAGCAGTGTTGTGCAATTGGAACATTGCAACACTATTGGAATGTTCCAATGTCAATCTTCAATTGATATTAACCAATAAAATTTGTGTGTATGACACTATAATTGAATTTCATTGGTTAACTTCATTTGGAATGTTCCAATTCCAATTGGAATTTATTAGAATGTTCCAATGAAATTTTATTGGAACCATAAATGGCACAACACTGCTCTATGGGTTTTTGGAATTGTGCTTCAATATTTGTGGAAGGCTTTGATGATATCCACACCCATAATATTTTTTGGTGCCTATTGATGATATTACAATGAGCCTACTGAATATATGTTCCTAACTATTAACATTAAGGTTTACCTTCAAAGAGCTATTAACACTTGCTAGTGGCAATTTGATTTCCTGTTCAAGTGTTTTTTCATCAATATTTTCCATGGTTGTATCTTCATTAGATTTATCAAACAATAATGCAGATTCCTCATAATCAGATTGGTCTTCTCTTTTTCTTTTGTTGGTAGAAATAACTTGATTCTTCATTTGTATTGTGGATAAATAAATGATGTATATAAAATTTGGCTATAAAACAGTAAATAATAAGAAAAATTAATACAAACCCTTGGAATAATGACATTACTGCCAATTTTGTTGTGGTAGACATCATCACTATGCTCTAGTGGCTGTTTCATAATAGATATTATTTAACTGATCTTAAATGTGTTTTGTTGGCAACCACATCCAATGCATTTCCTGCACACTGCAACTATTTCATATTCTAAATCAGTCAATCTGAAACATAAAGAATTTATAGAAAACACTACACTCACCTTTTTTATATCAAGCTGTTTCTTCATATTAATAGACTGCCAGAAAGAATTTACATCTTCACTTGTTTTTTCATACTTCAATATAAAATTATAATAGTTTTGTTTAACTTGATGCATGTCATCAGGGCATCACCAAAAGCTGGAAGAAACTTGGCATGGGACATACCCTTTACAACCAAACAGGACATACCCATTCAATTGCTCCAAGAAATCAACATGTGGTAACCATGATATGGGACATACCCTTTACAACCAAACAGGACGTACCTGTTCAATCACATCAATAGAAACCAGGGCATACCCCACTGTCACCAACCAAGGCATACTCAGCTGGCTATTTAAGTGTTAACATGCCAGCTCTGTGCTAACTCGTGATAATTTACTTGATATGTTTACCTTCAAATTACAAAGACACTGTTTGATTTGTTGACATTCTTTCAAATTTTCCTTAAGGTATTCAAGGTTTTTAACATAAGACATGTGTTCTGTTGATTTATCACTTGTAAAATCATTTTCGCGTTCTTTGTATTTTAAATAACCAAGTAAACTCCAAGTTGTATTTGTTTGAAAGTATGCTGGTGACAGCATTATATGAATTTTTTTATTTGAGAAGAAAAAAATTAAATCATGAAAGAAATTATATATATTAGTAATAAAACAAATCACTGTAAAAACAATTTTGTCATACAGCCTAATTAAAATGTCGCACGGCATATTAATTATCTGATCGATTTATGCAGATAGCGTATTAGTATTTCTTTATTATACAATCAGAAAATATGGAAAATACACGCAACTATTATATTCCCGCATCTAAGAAAAATAAAGTCAAATATATACATGGACTTCCTCCCGATTTTCATGACGAAGTAACGGTTAAGGAATTCATTGGGGGCAAGTATACTTGAAAAAGTGGATTGCAGAAGATCAGGGCCATGGATTAAATGAAAGACTTGAAGCGCATATAACAGGCACATAAGTGGCATTACTCTGCAATAAAAATAATGGGGCTTCTTTCGTTTATGGCGATGCGATAATATCCAAAGAAGATGGGCATATGAACAGGGAGAGTATCAAAGAAGTAGATATCGGTATGGATCTTGATAATTACATTTAATTGAGCGGGAATCGAAAATAATAGTAGAGAAACCTTTTATTAATTTTTTAACAATTCATATTTCCTAATAATGAAACTTGCTGGCCTCAAGGTTGCTCTTTAACTTCTTTAACTACTTTATCCCGAGCCCTACGATCTCGATATTTTTTTACATTCTTATAATATTCAAAGCGTTTTGATATTTTTTTCCTGAATTGATAATAGTATTGCAAAACATTTTGACTTGTAGTATCATTTTCAGCTTCGGCTTTAACAATTTCTTGATAAAGATGAATATAACTATTGGCTTCGGGTGACTGTGAGGTAAATGACAAATCTTGGTGGGTGTTATTATCCATTAACTCTTTGATTCCTTTTGTTTATTACTTTTTTTATCTGAAATAACTTTAGGATAGAGGTATCTTTACGGGCTCTTTTGTGAGGTTTTTTCCAAAGAGTCCTGATTATCTTCACTCCCCAATTCATCCACATCATCCATTTCCTCATCTTCTTGGATTACTTCTGTGTTGATCTGAAGTTGATTACTCATCCCCCTAACTATCGATGGAGTACTTGACTGAGAATCTTGTCTAGAAGTATCTATAATAGTTTCAGCACTTTGATCGCACTTAAGAAAAGGACATATATTGGTAATTAAAAGATATTTCTCAATGCAAATTCTATGAAAGACGTGGCCACATTGTAATGTTGTAAATCCTTTAAGAGGGTGTGAAAAAAATTCTTTGTTGCATTCTGAACATTGCTTTAGTTCTGGAAATTCTTTATTCTCAACAGTATCTCCAAATGTTTTTAGGATATTATATATGAAATTTTTAAGGTTAGTAACGGACATAACAGGAATATTTGCAAATAATGCACTTTCTCTGAAAGATAAATCATTACAGAACACTTCTACAAGATTTGGCTGGTTATTATAATACTAGTAGTTTCAATGGATCACTCTGTTAAAGATGCAAAAACTACAATTGATAAATCAGCAATTTTGGACCAATATAGTCATGAATGAGATCAATTTATTTTCTATGGACGATCTACCTCTACATTTTTTTGGGAAAATTAAAAGCTTTATGGAAAAAAAAACTATGCATAAAATAACGAATGCTATAATGGAAAATAGGAATGTGCAAATACACCACCTCTCTTCCCACTTTTGTATATAATTTTTTTGACACATCAAAGTGTCAAAGTTTCTAAATATCATGAATTGTATATAATCAGTTTTTCTCTTAATGGTGGTTGGTAATATCAGTTGTAAAGTACTTGTAGAAAAAATCTGCTTTGATTTTTTTTATAAATTAGTACATGAACTAGAAGAAAAAAAAATGAAAATATTATTTAATAAATTATTTAATTATTTGATGAGGTAATAAGCAAAACAGTATTATGTGATGGTGAAGAAAATATAAAATTTCTTATGAATATAGAAAAAAATAACAGTATAAACTGGATTTCATATAATAAATTTAAAAAGGTTGAATATTTAGCTAAAGGTGGTTTTGGAGAAGTTTTTAAAGCAACATAGATTAATGATATTGATGAAGTGGATGTTGTATTAAAAAAATTATAATTCCAGTAATAAAATTTTAGATATTTTAAAAGAGGTAAAAATATTAAATTATCATTAATATTATTATCATTATCAAATATTAATAAAAATATTGTTTAGTTAAAGGCAAATGATAAAATTGGAAATACTGTCAGGTGTTATGGAATTACTAAAGTTCCAAATGAAAATGACTATTTATTGGTATTTCAATATGCTAAAAATGGAGATTTACACAATAATTTATCAAAAAACTTTAAAGAAATTACTTGGGAATATAAACTTAATTCACCTTTTTGGATTTCAAAAGGTTAGCTTTAAATTTTATTATTAAATTAAATTTCTTTTTTATAAAATTATTATTAAATTATATATATATTATTATTATTATTATTAAATTAAATTTTCTTTTTTATAAAATAGATTAGATTAAAGTGCATTCATGAAATGAATTACATTCATCATGACCTGCATAATGGCAATATTTTTTCATATGCTCATTACATGAGTTTTATAGGAGATTTAGGATTATGTCAACAAATGATAAATGAAAATGAAAATCCAAATGAAATCTTTGGAGTCATTCCATACCTGGCACCTGAAGTGTTATCAGGTAAACAATATACAAAAGAATCAGACATTTATAGGTTTGGAATGATTATGTGGGAGCATACATCAGGGAAGAAACCTTTTTATAATGTACCACATGATCATCATCTAATAATGGATATTCTGGGAGGAATGAGACCTAAAGTCACCAAAGACACTCTTGAATTCTATGCTGAATTGATGAAAAAATGTTGGGATTCAAATCCAGAAAATAGGCCAACTGCCAATGAAATTAATGAGTGTTTTTGGACATATGCTGTAAAAAGAGAAGAAATCATTAGATTAGCAGAAACAAAACGCCAAGAGACAATTAAATCAGAAAAATATCTTTCGAGATCAAAGAATTACAAACACCATCTAGATGCATTCTATACAAGTCGTCCACTTAGTAAGTTAATTGAGCAGGCTAATAATAAATTGGCTACTATATCAATAGATTATGATGATGATTCATCCAATAAAAAAATTCATCCAAACACTTTAATTGAATATAATTTCGACAGTAACGCTTCAGTGTTTATGCCAATGCATATGAAATGAAAATGATATCAATGATAACAATGTTAGAAATTGTAATGCAAATGGTAATGTTGGTGATTATAGTGATTAATGGTGTTGATCACAATGATAGTAGTGGTAATAATAAAATGAAGCATTAAAAGAATTTCTAAACCATCAATTAAGACATTATTAAAATGCGTGCCATTGTTGTATGTGAAATTGAAATTGAAATATTATGGAGTGGGGTGAAATTCTGATTGGCTAATTGGAATTTCACACATGTAAATTTGAATTTCACATATGTGAATTGCGAATTCACATAATTTCATTTTCATCATTAAAATACGTATTATTATTTTATTAAAACCAGTAAAAAAATACATAAATGATTATATGATGGTATTTATATATTACACGTTCATTTCAAGTCAATATGCTTTCTACATTTGAAACACTTGTAAACATGTTAATGTAAATTTTAATCTCAGCCTGATAGAGACTATGTCAGAAGCAATTTCCATAGAAATTACTTGGTAAAGTTAGTTTGAGTTTAATTATTAGTATTATTTAAATGATAGCGTTCCGCGTTAATAAAAAAAAATTTTTAAACTAATTATTATTATAACTAGCCTTTATTGCCAAACATGCTGCATCAAGTTGAATGTCAATCCTTTTCGTTTTGATCTTGTTTATTTTTAATCAATTGATAATTCTATCTTATATACGAAATACGAAATAAATCAAGTTTCACGTGATGATTTTGCGTCAAGTGAAAAAATTATTAGAATTACCGCACACTGGAGGAACATAAGGTCATGGTTTAATTTTTCTTTTTTTGAGCGGGTTTCCGAACTTTCAACAAATTGGTTGGAGAGAATAACTTATATTTAAATATGACCCTGCATATGATGATTGGAACTCGACTATAGTTTTTGATTTTGGAAAAAGTAATTACGGCTCTTGGTATAAAATAACTACGTTTTAAAGAATTCAAAAACTATTTATTTTTGTTCATTTTGACCTTTTCGAGCCTTCTTTTGGCCGCCCACAGTCCCATAAATACGTGATAATCTTTATTTGATTCTTTTTTTTAAAAAAAAAATCAGAAGGAAATTCCAAAAGCGTATATTTATATAATCCCTCTAAAGAGTATTTTTTAATATGAAATGTATTAAAAATGGGCGATTACAAAATCTGTAAAATGGATTTTCATACATAAATAACAAACGAATTCAAACTAAAAAAAACTTAAAAATTAATCAAAGAGGACAAAAAACCATTCAAATTACTTGAAAATCAAAGACCGTCTATCTATAAATGACAAAAAAATAAAAAGACGAAGAAGTCGATATTATTAACCATTTGTATGAAATCTTTCTCAAATTTAATGCAAAATTAAAGGTCTACAATTGGATGAAGAAAAGAAACATTACAGTTAGACATATATCGAAATCTCGATTTATAATAGATTGAAGCTTTTTGCTGATTATTTTTTAGTAATACATTTCAAAAGCATCAAAAGCTTGAAGAAATAAATAATTAGCCTCTGAAACGATGGAAACTAACGTTGAATTTTCAGAGTCAAACGAATCTAGAAAACCAGAATATGTATCTTATGAAGTGCGTGTAACTTTTGCAATGAATAATAAAGTAGAAAAGTTCATTTGTTCCGCAAGCGAAAAAGATGCAATGCGCATGATTTTTTTTCAAATTAAAACCAAAAATTTGCCTAATTTTGCTAAATGGGTAGAATTGATGATTTCAGAAAGGGGTTAGCCCACCTTTTCTTTGGAACAAATTGACACCCGAATGTGTTTTTAATTACAAATTAAAATATTAACAATGATAATATGGGTATTGATGAAATAGTTAGAATAGAAAGTGGCAAAGAAGAAAGCAGCGGTAGTGATAATAATATATGTATTCTAAATCTTTTTTTTTTTAAAATAAAATACGTAAAATTCGCATTTCCCATCTTTACATGTACTAACACACATCACTGTAGCTAAAAGGTTTCATCTGGCTGAAGGATTATCGTTCTGAATGTTCAGTTAATATTTGCATTTAAATTTTGAATCATTCCATTAATAAATAATTGCATATTCATATAGACAGAATTTATATAAAGGAGTAAAGAGACATTGAAGTACTAAATTTACGTGTAGATGATTATGTATATAATATATATATATAAAGGACAGGAAATCTAGAATATACAGAACTTAGGTTCGCTCAAAAGGATAGCAAACTAGGCTTGAAGGTCTTCTTGTGGGTGAGCGCACTTGATGTTCTGAATTAAATTTGTTTGTATTGATCCTTTCTTATTGAATGATATATCGTAAAAGTCCCATAAAACTTTTTAAATATATTTTTGCATATTAATTATACAATCAATATTGGGTTTTATTATCCAGGACTTGAATTATATAAAATAAGGAAATTAATTTTCTCGTTTGAAGAGGGTAATAAACTACTCAATGTATGCAGTGAAATCAAAAACCCATGTGTTACCAACAAGCTTGCAATGATAACGATAAAACTTATGGGATTGTATTGGTCTCGGCCTCGAATACTGTTCTTTTGTTTAGAGGCCTGGATTTTAAATGTGGTACCTGAACCGGTTAGCATACCGGTTAAGATTGTTCGATGACGTTTAATGGTAAACATATCAATTGTTTTATAATGAATGTCCAACCCATTCATTGATACCCAAATTTATTTGTTTTGTTTATGAAGATTAATGTTTTTGTTTGTTTTATAAAAATAATAATATTATGTTTATTATCACCAACTTTAGAAATAAGACTGGTTCCAATTTTGGACCATAAATTGGTAAGATTGACTAATTGAAAGACCAACACAATAGTTAAAAATTTGCATACATTATCTAATTAGTCGAAAAAAAAAATTTTTTTTTTCTACAACAGCACCCTTTCATGTAATGCATTATTTCATGGTTTCTTTCCCTGCCTTTAATTATTGACTACTAAAAAGGAGGGAGTAATTCAAGAGTTTACTTGGATGGCGTAGGTACTTCTTTAATTCATACATGATCCCGTAATATGTTAAACTTGAAACCTGCCAGTTTTGTGCCGATTTGTCATGACAATGTAAATAAAGGAATATCTCAAATCAGAAATAAATGACACCAACATACACACAATACAAAAAGAAATATAGCAAGTTCTTTGGCAGGTAAGAACGTCTTGGATGCTTTGCTGATATTAGCCAAGCTACATCAGGCCAACCACTTCTTCGTCAAAACTCATCCAAACAAACCATCACATGTACTTTTAATAGTATACCCCAACTATGCATGGGTAAACAAATAGAACAAAAAACTTGTCCAAAATGAATAAAGTAACATTGCATAATCTTCCCACAATTGGAAATTTTGTTTGAAGCGCCTTTGTTCAAATGCGCATACAGAATATAATTGTCACGCTCGTGATATTAATATAGCTTCAATTTACTTTGTCAATTTACTTTGTCACCATGTTCAGCAATGCATTGCCCCCAACAATAAAATGAGGAAAGGGCGCGGAATAATGTTTTTTTTGAAAAATTATTTAAATTTTTTAATTTTTATTGATTTTTTAAAAATGAAAGTAAATGGTAAAATAATGAATACTGAAAAATATTTGCTATACATTTATACATTTAATTCGTGAATGAATGAATGAATGAATGAATGAATTTTATTTGATAATAACAAAATTGAAAAATTGAAAAATAAAAAAATATTTATTATTATTATTATCAAATGTATGGTATCGTGAGCATGAAAGAAACCAATTTATCAAGGTCAACTTCATTTGAATAGGTGGTGGTTGTGGTGGTTGTGGTGTTGTTGTTGTCATCGTCGTCATTTAGAGGCGTTAAAGGAGTGTTTAGAGGTGAAGTTGGAGTGATAACGTATGCTCTTGTTGACGGTAATGACGTGGAATTTAATTCGGTAAACCTCGTAATTGAAGAAGGTATTTTAAATGTTTGATCGTTGTTTTTTTCCTTCGAAAAAAAAAGTGAATAAGGCATTTTGTATGTTTGATCGTTGTTTTTTTCTTTCAAAGAAAAAAGTGAAAAAGAAGACGGATAATGATAAATGAGACTTTTGTCTTTCTTATAGTATAGAAGGTCAACAAGAAATGGTTAAGTTCGACTATGCTTTAATTTATTATTTTCAAAAGTTAAAAATTTTAATTTTTAATAAGGAATTAAAATTTTATTTTTTTTTTTTCAAGGAAAATTAATTGATCCTTATTATTTATTTGTTTTTTGTGAAGAAAAAAAAAAAAAAAAAGTATATATATAGGACATATAGACAATTTAAATTACCTGCTTTTCTTTATTTGGAATCTTGAAAGTTGATCTTTATTTCGCTCTTTGATCAATCATATTAAAATAAAATTAATTAAATCCCTTTTTTGTTATTTACTATTACTATTCTTCATATTATATTATGTTACTAGATACAATGTAGACAGACAATCATATATTATCACGATTATTTTGTTTTTCTATATACATTTCATGAAAATTTTCTCTTTTTTTTTTTTATTATTCTTCTATGGGATGTCGTTTTCCGGATATTATGTTATACTATTACTAAAATGTTTTTATTGATGCATCAAACAATAACAAATAATAACAACTTGCCATTGGGGTGGGTAATTTTTGCGAAAAATATTCCATACCCTATGTAATGACTCCCGTCTGTATTAATTATTCATAATTTACGTCATAACTGAAAAAAATCTGCTTTATTCATATTATTATGCTTTGCACTATGATTTTACCAAGATAATTTTTCTATTTAAAGATTCCAAGACTTCTTGTTATTATTGTTTACAAAAAAAATTTGTCATTTAATTTTCTTGGTCCCTGGAAATTCGATCGTGTGACCATGCTTTGTTCCCTGTTTATCATTTATCATATTATTAGTATAAAATATTTTATTTTTTATTTTATAATGTCAACAAAAGAACTTTAAAATATTTCAACAATTCAATCACTCGATGGAACAACATTTTCCTACCAGACCTGTAGATCGTGAAAAAGCAGAACACGACCTAGCACTCAATATAAAAAAAGCCACCAGTCCTGAAGAAACTGCTCCAAAACAAAAACATGTTCGAAGTAAGCATCTTTTTTTTACACTTGCATTACAATCATGCACACATATGCATGCGTACATATAAATCTATAATTTATCTCTTCAATTGATAGAATGTATAGTCTATACGTGGGATTACCACACTTCCGAATCAATTTGGACCGGACTTAAAGTTCAACCAATAATTGCTGACGAAGTACAAACATTTAAAGCATTAATTGCTGTACATAAAATAATCCGAGGCGGTCATCCGATTGTATGTGAATATGCATTTCTTTTAAAGAAAATGGCTTGTTTAAATGTCATGTTAATTAATGATTGCTTTTATTCCTTTTGACTTTGTGAAATTTAGACATTAAAACAAGCTCAAAATCAAACACATTGGCTAGAGACTTGTGCAAGATCTGTAGTTAGTGGTGCTACTCGAGGTAATTTTTTATAGCTTAAAAATATCTTCATCTGTCAAAAATGTCAATTAGCGATAATTATATCAATTTTTTTTTTTTTTTTAGGTTATGGAACGCTTATTCGTGCATATGTAGATTTTTTAAAAACTAAGTTGGGTTATCATAAAATTCATCCAGAATTTAATGGAAATTTTGATTATGAGGATTATGTTAGTTTAAAAAATGTCGATGATCCTAATGAAGGGTAATAAAGATTTTCATATTTAATATATTAATTAATATATATATGTATAAAGATCAATTTTGTCAATTGGATTTATTTAAATTTAATCGTTTTTATTTATTTTACTTTGTTTTTTTTTTAAAAAAATAGATATGAGACAATAAATGATTTGATGAATTTGCAAGATCAAATTGATCAATTTCAAAAATTGATTTTTGTACAATTTCGTCCATCATCTAACAATGAATGTAGAATAGCTGCTCTTGTTCCATTAGTGGAAGAAAGCTATGGTATTTATAAATTTTTAACCAGCATGCTTAAAGCTATGCATCAGCATACAGACGCTGTTGACGCCTTAACGCCCCTTCGTACCAGATATAATGCACAACATTATGCTTTATTAAAATTCTATTATGAATGTTCAAACTTAAAATATTTAACCAGTTTAATTAGTGTGCCAAAATTACAACAGGTATACTAAATTTTTATATTATATATTTATATTTATATTATTATATTATATTAACCTCTTTTTTTTTTTAATCAAAATAATAATAATAGGATCCTCCAAGTTTAATTGATGGCGGTGCTCCATCATCATTGCCAAAACGTGTACAGTCAAAATCACCAGCTCCATCAACAACTTCAGAGCCAGAAACAGTGGCAGAAATATTGAAAGAAAATGAAAGACAGCAGCATGAATTGGAAAGACAACGACATTTGGTTGAAGAAAAACAAAGAGAACTCCAACTACAACATGAACGTGAACTCGAACAAAAACGTTTAACGGATATTCAAAGACAAAGAGAAATGGAAGAGCAATATAGATTAAATCAAGAACGTGAAAGATTAGCTAGAGAACAATTATTAAGAGAACAAATGCAAAGACAAGCAGAAGGGAGAGTTGCTGAATTGGAAAGAGAATTGTTGAACCTGAGACAACATATTGATCGTGATAAGATGATAATGGATCAATATGATAGGGTAAAAAAAAAAAATCTTTTTTAAATATTACGGAAGGAAAAACAGAGTTTTTCTCTATAATAAATAGATTTATAATATTTTGATTTTATTCTTTTGTTATTTTTAGAAAGTTAAAGCTTTTGAAAATGACATGAATCAACTTACTTTGAATGCTCAACAACAAATTGCTTCCAAGGATGATGTAATAAAAAATTTACAAGGTATTATTGATATTAATTATTCATAATGCTATTAAAAAAAATATATTTTTTTTAATTTGAAACTTTTTTTTTTTTGATTTTTTCTTTAAAGATCAAATTATAATGTGGAGGAATAAATATGAATCTTTGGCTAAATTATATTCACAACTTCGACAAGAGCATCTTGACTTGATCAATAAGTTTAAGGTAGCACAACTGAAAGCAAACTCTGCGCAAGAATCTATTGACAAGTTGGAGAGAATGGAAAAAGATATGCGTTCGAAGAATTTAGAATTGGCAGATATGATCAGAGAAAGAGATAGAGCAAGACATGAATTAGATAAATTAAAAAGTGTAAATATTTATTTATTTATATATATATATATATTACATTTGGTTTATTAATTATAAATTTTTAATTATTTTGTTTTGATAGAGTCAGCGTGAAGATTTGGAGAAGGTTAGACGTGAATTATCAGAGGCTAACTACAGATCAGAGGATGCAATAAGGGTATAAATTTATCTGTCAATACTCGTTTATATCATGTATATATAATATATATAAATTATTTATTTTACTTATTAGAATCAACGCGAGGAGTTAGAGAGAATGAAGCGTGAATTATCAGAGGCCAAATATAAAGCAGAGAACACATTAAGGGTACGAGTTTATTTATTAATATTCATAAAGTTATAAATATATGTCAGCTTACTGTTTGTTATATCGTATATATATTATATACATACATATATATATACATACATATATATATATATATGTATATATAAATATACAAAATAGATAAATAAAATTATCCAAAAAAATTTTGCTTTACATTTTTTATTTTATTATTAATTAGGCAAAAGACGAAGAAATTGCAATTATGCAAGCAGCAATGGATCAGAGTATGTTGTTAGTGGCGGACATGCAAAAGGTTTGATTCATTTAAAGTTTTATCCTTTTTTTACATTGGTTTAACTTTTTTATCATTATTTTTTTTTTGATTAATGCATTATATATATTCTATATAATATAGACTTCTATAGATCCCGAAAAATATCAAAACAAAGTTGATACTTTAATGTTGGATAATTTGAAGAATTTAAATGAAATTCTTGGTAAAACTCTTTTTTTTTTTCTCATATAAATTTTCTGCGAAATTAAACAAGGATCCTTACACTTTATTAAAAATGATTTCTCTAGATAGTATATTCCAAACATGTATTCAAAAGATTGATGATGGCTTATATGAATTAGAATCACCAATGCAAGTTGGCAATCAAAATTGCACACCAGAATATACTTTATCGATGATTGAAAATGGGACATCGGAAGCATCGGAATTTACCTACGCGTTTATTGAATTTTTGAAAACAGATAGAACCAAGAATCACGCAGATGTGATTAAAAACGCATTAAATTTTTCTCAAGCAGCTTCGGATATTTTGAGAACGGTAAAAGGAATTACGCGTTACGCTGACGATGAGGATGAATTTGTGGATGAGATTGTTAGTGCAGCTAAGGTAGCAGCCGTTGTCTCCCAAAAATATTTGTTAAATGTTCAATCTTTCAAAATGGACAGTTTACCAGCTTCCGGAAGGAGCGAAACGGTTTTGAAATGTGATATAGATGTTCAGGATTCACTACAAAAAATTGCTAAAATAACTGAAGGCCTGTTGAAACATAATTTAGATGTCACAAAGAGAGCAGATGGTGAGGTGGGTAACCTTGTGGAACAAGAAATGATGAATGCTGCAAAAGTTATTGAAGCTGCCACAGCTCGCATTCAATCTTTGATGTCACAACCTCGTGACGCTGGTCTTTCTGCGACAGAATTGAATGTTCATGATGCAATCCTTGAATCTTCATTGGCCATTACTAATGCTATAGCACATCTTATAAAATGCGCGACTGATTCACAACTAGAAATTGTAGCACAAGGAAAAGGCAGTAGCAGTCATGCAGCTTTTTATAAGAAGCATAATAGGTGGACGGAGGGTCTTATTTCAGCTGCTAAAGCTATTGCCTTGGCCACAAATCTTTTAATAGAAACCGCAGATGGTGTTATTCATAAAACACATAACCTTGAACAGCTTATTGTGGCGTCTAATGAAGTGGCAGCAGCAACCGCACAACTCGTAGCAGCATCCAGAGTCAAAGCAGATTTCATGTCTAAGGCGCAAGATCGTCTTGAAGCAGCCTCTAAAGCTGTCACAAATGCTTGCAAAGCACTAGTGAAAGCTGTGAAAGCAATTGCTGCAAAACAACTCGAAGAAAAGGACCACGCGATTGATTATGCTAGCTTAACACCACATGATTACAAAAAACAAGAAATGGAACAACAAGTTGAAATTTTGAAACTTGAAAAGGAACTAACTAATTCCAGAAGGAAGTTGGCAGAAATGAGGAAAGTTGGATATCATGCTGAAGAAGACTAATGTTGGCCCTGTTTAAGCATATTTATTGGAAATATTATCGATGGATTTCCAAATGAAAAAATAATTACTATTACCGATTTTAAAAGACTCGCATTTAAAAATAGACTCTGAGGAAAGCTTTACTTATCGAGTGATGAGAGGACCTCCGATTCCTTATCATATATTATATATTATATATTATATATTATTATTTATTTTATTATCATCATATTTTTTATAAAAATTTTAATAAAAAATTTTATTCGCAAAATTATAAATCTCAATTAAACAATTGAAAAATGTATAACAAAATCTAGATTAACTGAATCACTTTTTTAAATTCGATGTGAGCAATTTGTGTTGTAAAAGTATTTTAACACGAAATACTAAACTTCAAGTTTATTAGATAGATGTGTTTTATTCTTTATAACCAACCAATAATATCTGATAGTGGTTATCATAATCACTCCAATAAATAATGTTACATGCGTGAATTAAAAGTATAGTTTTGGGAAAAAATACATATGCTAGCAATAGTTACTTTAAATTGTAAAACAATAAAGACATATATATATATATATATGGAGTTTTTATAAATTTCACCAATTACAATAAAATCATCTGACTTTGAAACCTTTCAACTCAGCATAGTTATTTTTTTGGAAAATCCTCCAGTATCAATGTTCGTTGTGATAGGCCTTACAAAGTTACTGGTTGGTTTATCAAAGGAATGTTTCTGTGCTGAATCGAAAGGTTTCAAAGTTGGAGTACTTTTATAAGCTCCGCCGCCAAAAATTGATCATTTGCAACTTATGTCACGTGCAATAATTTTTAATTATCTGGACCATGTTGTGAAAAAAGCAATTTTGAGTTGATGATGTTGCTATATGTAATTCCTCACGTAGAACATTTTTTGGTTTAGAAACCATACCCACTTTGCATAGCAAAATAACGAGTTATTTTTCAAAAACGATCCTTTTAAAATGTTTAAAGTTTCTCAACATCATCATAACAAATTATTATGTGCGGATTTTTTTTAGTATCTTTATCATATATTTCAACACATTGTAAATGTTGACAACAAAATTCAACTAACTATATATTTTTTTGAAAACACGAATTATAAAAAAAAATTTATCAGTTACAATGTAAATTTTTTTATGGTAAAATTTAATAATAAATCGAATAACTTTAAACCATGATAACTTTTTTTTTTTCATAATAAAATTAAACAAAATTGTTTTATAATTTTATTGCTTAAGTCTTCTATAATAAATCTATAGAGATTTTTTTTCCCTATCTCATTTTATTATAAAGTTTTTCTATTAGCAATCTTTTTTCAATTTCTTTAGAACATACAAAAAAAATTTTTTTTTATTTGGCAAGAAAAAAAACTCTATAGCTTGAAAGCTTGATATATTTTCTATAATTTCCCTTGGTTTCATGTTTGTATCTCTTTAGTTGAAGGTTCTGATACAATTTTTATTTATATAGTTTTTATATATTATTTTTTTAAAAAAAAAAAGTTATTGATCGACATTATGTTACATCCAATTAACTATGGTCTATCCAGAGATAAAACGTGTCACTTTAAAGTTCCCTCAAGAACTACCTAAAGAGGATCCTACTAAAATAATTGCATATATCAGCAGAGATGTTAATCTAACAAATCAGGTAGAGAAAGCTCTAGCTGTATTTGAAGAGAGATGTAATTACTTGAAGCCTGGTGTGTTCTCACAGAAATTCAATCAAAGTATAAAATACACGTGGCCCATCTTTTTGATAGCTGTTTTTTATTGCTTTCGCCTACATTATTTCATATTTGTTAATAATAATTTATATATACACATATATATCCTTAACAAACGAAGAAAAATTGGTAATGACGATGAAAAGCTAGGAAGAGCTTGAAATAATTTGAAGAATGCATCCAAAGAAATCCAGTTTCTTTATTTGTCTAAAGATATCTCCTATATTTTAGGTGATGATGATAAAAGGTTCCAATATATCAGTGATTGTTATATTCACCTTTCAAAGATTATTTTCTTGAGGATGACAATCTCCGTCGTTTGCGTATTACTGGCAACCCGGGAGTTGGAAAAACCTTCTTTGGTTATTACCTATAATTTATCTGCTTGCAATGCAAAATAAAAACGGTTATATATCACGAACGTGACAAATCACCAATTATTTTCAGTGAAGAAACCGTTTATAGATAATGTTTATGAATTCAAGGATCTTCCGGGAAAAAGAGAAGCGTGGTATATTGTGGATAGTCGAAAACCATCAGAATTTCATGCCAAGATGATTGTCGTCTGTTCACCCCAGAAGCGTTACTATCATACATTTGACAATCTTGGTACGGTTGTTCGGTATGTGACAGTGTGGTCTCGTGCGGAAATTGAGAAAATGTAAGAATATACTTTTTCCTAATCTTAATCAAGGATCGGTTCGAGCTTATATAATAAATGTGAGTGGAGGATTCCTTGATATACGTTGTGTTGTGCGCTTAATGGTAGTCAACAAGCTCTTTTCCAAAAGGCCATTTAACTCTATTAATGAAAGAATATTGGACTTTGTTGGCGAAAGCACAGATGATAATGGCAGCAGCTGCAGACTTGTACATATCCGTACAAATGTACCACAAGTATGTAGAAGAAAAAAAACTTCCTTAATAACTAAACCAGATAAGGGAAAGGTGGCGCATCAATTAAACCAGAAATAGAAAAAGATATTATAGAGGCACCTTTCTAATTATAGGTTATGTTTTCGGGGAGGTATTAACAAAAATGAAAATTCGGATATTTAAATTTTATTTTGTCGAGAACAGGATTTTCATACTAATACTTGACGAAATACTGTTGTCCAGCGTAGATCGCTTTGGACTAGCCGTCTTAAACAATATGTTTTAGAGTTTGGTTTAAAATTATAAAATTTTTTTATCATGAAATGATGTTTTGCAATATAATTAAAAATAACAAAGGCGTTATTTATATATTAATTTTTAATAAATGTTTTGTGCTTCTAAATTTATTGTAAATTTATGCAAATGCGTACATAAAAAATCTGATATTTTTTATTTTTTTGCTCGAATTTTGATTTATGTGGTATAGAGTGATTTTACCCGAGGTCAAGGAATTGCAAAGAAAATGGATCAGATCTGGAAAATATAGCTCGCTTATATGAAGAAGCATGTAATGCAGAAGATGAAACGGTAGAATCTAATCGGGTAGAAATTTTATGCTGAAGTAATTTTATTATAGCATCAGATAATGAAATTATAGTTAAAGTTAAAATATGTATGAAAATCCAAAAGTCTGATTCACGATTTTATTGTTGAGCAGAGTCCTGGAACTAAACGAGAAACTCTATATAAAAAAAAAACAAAAGAGCTAGATTATTCGAAAAAATTGGATTAGATAAAATCCAATATATAATGAAAATGAAATATCAAAGTTTACTATTACTCAAATCCAAGATATTATAAATCATTTATCTAAGAACTCCAATATGAATTGCCCTATAATACTGTTGATTACTGGAAACTGAGATGAGTATGCCAACCAAAACTCAAAACTCTAAATCTTTCAGCCTGATTACGCCAATCTCATCAAAACTGAGGCAAAGCATATCACTCACATTCCAAATTCCTGAGAAACCTCAATTTTCGAAAACATCCAATGCTACTCCAAAGCTCTTTTCATTCAAGAAGAAGCTGGCAGAGGAGAAGTGTGATCAAACTATTAATTTGTTGATAACGCACTTCAATAATCTCCACGCCTAGATCTGCATTTTAGTATAGATAAGGAAGGAGAATCAGATAGATAACTATTGCATACGGGTTTGGAGGGTAAGTTGTAGATCTATATAGTTGAGGCTTATTATTTGCATTGCGATTATCTAGAAGATTCGAGTATTCTCCACTTGATGAAGCACTAAAAGCATGCTTTAAAAATTCGGCTCCGAATCAATCTATTCTTATTATTATATTTCCAGATATAGACTTGGTAGTAAGAACATAAAGAAACCTCGAATATTCATCCGACATCTAGATTATGTAGCATATTTGTGTGGCCCGTAATGCATAAATACTTTATGTTTGCCATCTTTGCAAGGCAAAGTTGATAGTCTGAGAACTATCATATATAGTGATATTTTCTTTTTGTTTCAGATTTTTCCAAGCGTTGCATTAATCACGCTTCCAGTCCCTATAGGACCTACTTTATTTCATAAAATTTTGCCGAAACAACAACACAAAAATAAAAAAAATCATCAAGCAATAACTAGTCAGTTGTCAAAAGGGTATTATTTTAAAAATTCGTTAACCCAGATCTTGACGTGATTTTCTATCGTTAAAATCATTTTATTTTCTGCTATTATATATAATAATAAACAAATTGCAATAATAATAATGCTAATGAAAAAATGAAATTTCATTTCACAAATATCCAAGACATCCAAAGTTTATATTAATTGTATGGGTTAATAGGATTTTACTTTTGATTTTAGCCTTTGGAAATTTTTAGTTAATACCGAATGTCAATGTATATATACATATAACACCAAGTTATAGAATTATTTATAGATCTTTTTAAATTTAGTCCAAATGACATGTGGCTATATGAAATAATAATTACAATGTCCATGTCATTGCCTTTTATAGAACAAGCAAACGAAATTTAAATAAAGTCATTATTATCTATTCTTTTTTTAACATTAAAATTCTTATCCAAGAATCTTTTTTTATTCACAAACATAATACGAGTTCCTTATTTAGCTGACCTTTTCTAGATAAAGAAAAAAGATTATTTTCTGATTTTACCTTTCTCCAATTGTGTAATCATAAGATTCTATCCCATATTATTTTCATTCTTCCACAGATTCCGCTTTTTATTAGGTAACTGCTTTCTTTCTTTAATGTTTATTTTTCTTTCTTCTTGGTAGATTTCATAAGTAATTTAAGCAAAGTTTGCTAATTCAGAATTTAATATCGCGTTATAGATTCTCTACAACTTTTTCATGTAGAGAACATTATTTAGTATGGAGACACAGATGTACGAAATACAGAACTTGTGTATAATGTTCATATTAGCTTTGTCTGGTTTTGTTACATATATGCGTTCAGTTGTTCAGATAATTTCTAAAAATCAAACATTCAAATTAATAAATTATGTAGTAACTATTATTAGAATTATCATCATCAATTGAAATTATTATATGAACCCAATAGCACTCAATTTCTGCTTATTCAAAACGCCCATGTTTTGTTCAGCAAACAAACTGATAAACTTGTAAATCCTTTCTTAATCGTATCAAGCCAATAAAATTGTTTCAAAGTTTCACCATGGAAGAATTTCTTTTATTTCCTTTTGTCATTCAAAAAAAATAATACATCTTTAAAAGACCAAATTCAACCTCATTCAATCCATCATCAGCAATCTAATGGAAATCAAAAACTAGATGCATTCGATCAAATATAAAAAAGACGTTCACTGGTGTAAGCCCTAAAATATAAAATATAAAAATTATTAATTCCAACCAACTTGGTAAAAAAACTCACCTTTTTCTTTCTAATTTGTTTAATTCCAATTAAAATGATGGAAGGCGAATAACGACACCTGATTCAATCAATGTTATATACACTTGGATTAATTAAAATTTCGAGAATTGAAAGTTAATAAAAATCAAAAAAAAAGAAAAAAATACATACATGGTTTATTATTACGTGAAGAAAACATGTCGGAATCCATTAACAACAATTGTATGGTCAGCATTATATCCACCCGATTAATAAATGACAATAATATAAATAAATATATATCGTTTGTGATTAGAATAATCTGTACAAATATCTATTTCTTGCACTAACATATAAATAAGCCATTCTTTTTTTTATTTTCTTCTGAAAGTTTAAGAGCAGAAATACTTTATAATTTTTAGAAATCTAAAAATAATGATTTTGATGATCTTTTCCCTATCAAAGCATAAACAATGGATATATTAAGTTAAAGCTAAATTGAAATTTATTGCCGAAATTTTTGTGCAATATTCTAATTCATATAAATAAATTTTTTTTTTGTTACCTGAAACAGAAATAAAAACTTTTATTTCTATTTTTTCAAGATCATGGATTATTTCCCAATCCTTGAAGTAGATCAAAAATCTAGGGTTATAAAGAGACAATATAATCCTGAAAGTCGTTCTTTTCTCGATCCAGCAACTACTTCTTTTTTTAATTCTTTACGATGCGATCAACAAGACTACGTAGTGCTTCTTGATCCACAACTTTTCCCTGAAACCTTACAAAGGAAACTAGCCGGTGTTAGTCTAAAAGAACGAGTCAGTTTCTTTTTTTTTACTCGTGTAGATATTTTCTTTTTTTTCGTAACATATATTTTCAAAATTCATGTTGATATAAAACAGTTTTAAACGTTAGAAACAACCAGAACCTGTTTTAGATCCGCGAGGTAATGATCGTGATTATGTTAAATCGGCTCTTAACAAACGACAAAAGTATACAAAAAAATTTCGAATTATAAAATATGAGGTATTATTACTTTCTTTTCTTTCGATTAGTCTAATTTATTTTTTATCGTGTCTTTTTTCATAATTTAATTCCATATTTATCTTATATTTTAGGGCGAAGTTAACACCTGTCATCCAAAAGAAGCATCGATATTTATTTCAAATATTGATAAATTGATTGTCGAAAGACAACTTCAGTCATATTTTGATGAATGTGGATTGATAAAATATTGTAATATTAAACGCGATCCAATACTTAACGAAAGCTTGTCTCTCGCTAGAATTACCTATTATGACGAGACCGAAGGGGTAGCATTAAACGCTGCTAGGGAAGCTGTCTCTAGACTTAACGGAAGACAATTTTATAACAATATGCCCATAAATGTTGAACTTGATAATGATGGTTTGTTAATTTTCTTTTTTGATTTGGAGGTTTTTTTATAACATTTAATTTAAAAAAGAATGTTGTTTAATTGTTTAAGGATCGAAATTGCGAGCTGCCATGGATATGACGACTACGAAAAGACCAATCAATTTATCACCAATTAAATTGCCCGAAACAAAGATTTTAGACTTTACATTAGGAATAACAAATCATGATGACGATATGGAAATTGATGATGCTCCATCACCACCTATTACAACTACTTTTGAAGCTATAATAAAACCTAATAATAATGCAAACACGACATCAATTCCTTTATCAATAGATAATAAGGCCGATATAAATTATTCAATCCCTTCAGTAAATAAATATCCAGAAAAAATTATTAATAATTTTCATGAAAAACCTAATTTAATTGTGGAAAAAAATCGTGTCGTAGATGATGATAAAGAAGAAGGAGAGATTGATGAAAATGAAATTGAGGAAGTTGAAAATTTATTAGAAGCACCAAGCAATAATAATAATAATAATAATAATAATAATAATAATAATAATAATAAAATTAGTAATGGCAATAATAAAATTAGTAATGGTAATATTAATAAAATTAGTAATGGTAAAAGCAGCAGTGACAATCATAATATAAATGGAAATGTAAATGGCAATGTTCTTACTTCATCAAATGATCATCATCACAAAGAAAGAAGCTATAACAATAATCTGTTTTTTGAAAAAGATTCATCATCAGCAAAACCAAATTGGCGTCATTCTGACTGGAAAATACCACCTGTGCCTATACAAAGTTGGCGTGGTTATGATCAATACATACCTGAATATAATAGTGAACGATCAAGAATCAATAATTCTTCTGAAAGGAGACGACACGAGTCTTCATCCGATAAACATCAAAAACGAAATAAATCACCAAGAAGTAGAAGCCATGGAAGAAGTCATCATACTTCTCATAAACGTGACGGTTCTCGTAAACGTGATCATGCTTTACCCAAAAACCATGAAAGAGATAATAAACGTGATTATGATTATAATAAAGATGACGAAAATCATGATAATAATAGTTACAAAAACAGTCACAATAGTACTAGTAATAGTAAAAATTATAGTAACAATGACAATATTAATAAACGTGATCGTGATCAAGACACGCACAAGGACAAACATAAACAACAATATACTGATGATGATAAACCAGAGATAATCAAAAGAAATGATGATTTCATTTTTGATTCAGATTTTAAATTTACTCGTGATAATGGGGAAAATGAATGGTCTGAAAAATTTGAAACAGAAATTACATGGAAATCATTACCAAAATTCAAAAAACGATCCGATCTTAATCAAAAAGATACTATAAAAAATAAATCCAATAGTCATAATAATCATCATAATCACAATAATCACCATAACTACCATAATCACAAAGAAGGAGATGACGGATATGACGATAATGAGATAAGTAAAAAAGAAAAAAAAGATCTGATGCTTAAACAACAAAAGCAAAAGCAACAGAAAGATCTCCTGCATAAATTACAGCAACAAAAACAACAAAAACAACAGAACCAAAACCAAAATAACGATAACGACTTGAGTATTTCTGGAAAGAGTTATAAGATGCAATACCCATTACCCAACAAATTAGAGTCAATAAATATGTCAAAGAGTAGTAGTTCTACATCTATAAATAAAGAAAAATCAAAAACTCCATCTAAAAGTATCTTTAGATCAAAATACAATTCAGTTGATGATGATGATGATGATGATGACGATGATGACGATGATGATCTATTAGAATTTAATCAAAGTAGGTCGTTAATCAATAAAGGCAAGGGAAAATCTATTAAAAAGTTAGTCGAGAAAAAAAGAAAACCAGATTGGGATTATTCGTCATCATCACCATCGTCATCGCCATCACCATCACCATTTACGTATACTTCATCTGAAGAAGATAAAATTTTATTAAAAGAGCCTCACAATAAATCCATCAAAGACTATGTTAGTAATGAATCATCAGATGACTCATTTTTTGAATCAGAATGGGTAGACAGACCGTACCTTAATTCAAATGACAACATTTCTGATACATTTAATTTAGATATAATCAAACTTTATTTAGATTTAAAAAAAAATGAGCAATTGGATAGTAACGGTAGCCCAATAGAATGGTCAGAGCATGAGGATGAATATTATGTAAGAGTTGGTGGTATGTTTAATTATCTCCTCCAAAGAAATTTTTGTTCTATTTATTATACAATTATATCCATTTTATTTGATAAGATATTGAATTAATTTTTTTAAAAAAAAATAGGTAAAAAATATAAATATAAAGATTACATGCCTGATGATGGTCCACATAAAACTGGATGTGCAAGAACTGAGGGATATTATAAAATACCTCCAGAAGAAAAACGTAAATATGTTGATTATGGAATGCCTGGTACCTCTTATGCCAAAGATAAAGAATCTGCTCCAAGTTCACGTGCATCACGTGCTAAAAGACGTGAAATACAATTACAAATGGCAGAATATCAGGATTTGGCAGTTGACACGGATATTCTTCAATATAATCCATTAAAAGCTCGAGAAAAAGAGCTTACAATTGCAAAATCTCATATTCATGATTATGGACTTTTTGCCTTAGAACGTATCAAAGCTAACGAATTTGTTATACAGTATACAGGCGAAGTCATACGTCAGGCTGTTGCGGATCTTCGTGAAAGAAAATACAAAGCTGAAGGAATTGACAGCAGTTATATGTTTCGTGTTGGAGATGATACAATTGTTGATGCTACAAAAGTAGGAAACAATGCAAGATTGATAAATCATTCGTGCGAGGTATTTTATCATGATCATCATTGTCAAATCTAATGTTTATTAATTAATGTTTAAATGAAATTATCTAATTTATCCAATTTTTTACAAGCCAAATTGTAATGCAAAAATACTAACTATTAAAGGTAAGAAAAAAATAGCTATATACGCTAAACAAGATATCGAATTTGGGGAAGAAATTACATATGATTATAAGGTAAAAACATTTTCATGTATTTTTTTTTTAAAAAAACTTGGAATTTAAAATTTTCATTAATATTTATTATTTTTCTTTAGTTTCCAATTGATAAAGACGATAAAATACCGTGTCATTGTGGTGCAGCAACTTGTAGAGGATTTTTAAATTAAATATTATAATATAATAATAATTAATACCAAATAATATAGCAATATAATGTATTAAAGAAATTGTTTTTTTTTTATTGTAAAAAATTATTATATACACAATCACTTATATATGTACATGTTTTTTTTAGAAATCTAGTTTAATATTAATAATAATAATAAACGTGCGACAGTTAATTATAAAAGAAATGAGTTCACTATAGTGGGTCTTGGTTGAAAGTTGAAGGGTAGTTAATATTGATTAATTCCTTTAAAATATCCCACAATACATTCGTGTCATTAGATGACCCCTGAATATGAGCTATATCACATTATACAACTCTTTGTACAGATTGAAAATATAATAATAAGTGTATTAGTATTCAAAACCATAAAAAAAGGTGGATTGCTGCAACAATTATGTTTAAATCACATGACATAGATCACAAATATATGACAGGGAAAATTTTTTTGAAAATTCAAAACTTTTATTACTATGTCAGAATCAATAAAACAAGAAGAACAACAACTAGAGCAACAAGAGGTTCCCACCACTAACAATAAATCAAAATCAAAAAAATATAGAAAAGATAAACGTAACTAAGCCTGTTTTATATTAAATGTTGATATTCTTTTGTGATTAATTTTTATTCATTATTTAGCGTGGGATAATGAAGACATAGATCATTGGAAAATCGAACCTTTTAAACCTGAGGATAATCCTCATCCTTTTACTGAAGAATCATCATTTGCAACATTGTTTCCAAAATATAGAGAAAATTATTTAAAAGAAGTTTGGCCTCATGTTACAAAAGCTTTAGATAAATATGTATGTGTAATTTACATGAAATAAATATTAATAATTTAATAATTTGCATAAAATAAATAATTTAATTTAAAAATATTAGGGAATAGCATGTGTACTGGATTTAATTGAGGGAAGTATGACAGTTAAAACTACAAGGAAAACATACGATCCTTTTATTATTTTGAAAGCACGTGATCTCATCAAACTTTTGGCTAGGAGTGTCCCATTTCCTCAGGTTATTGTTATATTTTTATTATCGTTATTATCATTGTTATCATCATCAATTCAATTCTGGTTTTATAGGCTGTAAAAATCCTTGATGATAATGTAGTATGTGATATTATAAAAATTGGTAACATAATTCGTAATAAAGAGAGATTTATTAAACGACGACAAAGGTTAATTGGACCAAATGGCTCAACACTCAAAGTATTTATTTGTCACTTTTCCATTTGTTCATTTCATTTGTTTATTCACTCAATATATTGATTAATTGACTATTTATTTATAATAATGATTATTATGATTTAGGCAATAGAATTGTTAACTCAATGTTATGTATTGGTTCAAGGTAATACTGTATCTGCAATGGGTTCATACAAGGGCTTAAAAGAAGTAAGGCGCATTGTGGTTGATTGTATTAAGAACATTCACCCTATATATCATATAAAGGTATTGATCAATGATGTTGTTGTTCCTATTGATAATAAAAAATGAATGGTATTAATATTTAAAATTACTTTTTATTTGAAAAAAAGGAATTGATGATTAAGAGAGAACTTTCTAAGGATCCTCAACTAAAAAACGAATCTTGGGATAGATTTTTGCCTCATTTCAAGAAACAAAATATCAAAAGACAAAAGAATCCAAAGACCAAGAAGAAAGAATATACACCTTTCCCACCTCCACAAACCCCAAGAAAGGTAATGAATAACATTTTTTAATTTCTAATTAGGGAAAAGATAGAAAATTAAATTAATGGAATTAACTTTCTTGAAAAAATTATTGTAGATTGATTTGCAATTGGAATCTGGTGAATACAGCAACAAAAATAAAAAGTTTAAAAATAATTAATTAATTATATGGTCAAAAATCAAGAAAAAAAATTCAAGCAATAAACTTTTGATTTGAACTTAATACAATGAACTTGAATAAAAATCATACAATAAATATAATTTAAATTTGTTTTAATATTTTCTTATTAAAACATACTATAAAAACAATTTTTGTGTGACAAATTTGACACATTTTCTCCAATTTATTTATATGCGAGTGACGAAAAGTTTGCGAATATGAAATATATATATTCTACTGCAAATATTGGCGTACCTATTATCACTTCGATGTAGATTATCGCAGGCAAATTTTCCTGCGACCTTTGCACCTTTCCACCACTAATTAATATTAACAATATTATTTTTAACCTCACCCTTGTGATAATTTTTAATTATATCGAATGGTAGTAGTATTAGTAATAACAATAATGTATCGAATGATAATATGTCCAGTAATAGTGACAATAATAAGATATCCAGTAATAGTAATCATACATCAAATAATAATAATATGTCTAGTGATGGTAATGGTAATATATTGAACGATAAAAAGAAAATTTCCAAAATTTCTACTCAAAGGAATACATCAAGTGAAAAGAATATGTATAACGGTGATAGACATAGGGATAGGAATCATGGAGGCAGTACGTATCGTAAAATCACTTTTTAGTTTTTTAAATGATCCCATCTTTTTCAATTTATCAATCAGATTCGGTCAATTAGGAAAATATAAGTTGTTTCTTGTTAATGTGGTTACGACCTGTCACTGCATTAGTTTTAAAGAAATTACCTTGAAAATTCTTTTGGACCCGTGATAGAAGTTCAGCAGGATGGATCTTTGGTAAATATAAACATTGATAATAATATGAATAAGAAAGAATAGATTTAAATTTCAAAGTGTTATATATAATATATTATATATGTATACATCATTTTTATATATATATATCATTTACTCAATACAAAAGCCGTATGCAATTGTATATTTTGCAGATTCAATAAGTTATTATAAATCAGTAAATTCTGGTAAATTATCAATAGGTGATGTGACTGTAAGGATTGAAGAGATTCGTGTAAGACATTAATCTTTGAAAATCAAAACACATTGGTAGAGGCCTACATGGATAACAATAATTGAACCCGTATCCAACTCATACCTGCATGATATCAAAATTTTGTACCTATACCCAAACCCGTTTCTCAAAATTTTATATCCAAACCAAAAAAAATTTCCAAATTTTAACCAAATCCGGAATATACCCGTATCTTTTTTTAATTTTCTATTACTATCAGACAAGATTTCACGCTTACTGATTTTACTATGTGATCGACATAGCACGTTTTCCGTACAACAGACTTTGAAGGAAGAATTGAATACAAGATTATAAATAAACAATTTTTATGCTTCTAAATAAATAGAATCTTGTGCTTTTGTTCGTTTAAATTCAATTTTTTACTTGTCAATAGCTTGTTTCGTTATAGTGCAATAACTTCCCAAAGAGACCCATACTTTTTGACTTTAAAGGCCTAATTATTTATGAAAAACGATTCTATTAAGATCATTTTAGCATCACAATATAGAGTACATTGAGAGCTCTCAGAAAATATATGGTTCGTTTGGTTTTCTTGGAGGTGGAAGAAATTAAAGGCAAAAAACAATTTTATAAGTTATTTATGACTATTTTATATT